AGCGGGGATACGGCTCCGCGGACACGCTCGCGTGTGCACCGACGACATGGGACCACCAGCAGGTGGTAAAGGATCAAAGAGCAAAGACGACAGTGACAGATTTCAAAGCGCTGGATTGGCACCCGAGTTCGATGACTCCCTGGAGAACTACAAGGTCTTCGGAAGAAGGTGGGTATCTACGCAGTGCGAGCCCGAGGCAGAGAAGTGGAGAAGTTTGTCGGGCTCGAGATCATGCAAGGCATGTGGGGCCGAGCATGGGATGTCGTGGAGGACGTGGATATCGCGAAGATCGAGGCGGACCAGGGCTGGATGAATATATATATATATATATATATATGTATATATGTATATGTATATGTGTATATATGTATGTACGTACGTATGTATGTACATACGTACGTACGTACGTATGTATGTATGTATGTATGTATGTATGTGTATGTATGTGCATGTATGTATGTATGTATGTATGTATGTATGTATGTATGTATGTATGTATGTATGCATGCATGCATGCATGCATGCATGCATGCATGTATGTATGTATGTATGTATGTATGTATGTATGTATGTATGTATGTATGTATGCATGCATGCATGTATGTATGTATGTATGTATGTATGTATGTATGTATGTATGTATGTATGTATGTATGTATTCGAGGCTGTGGATCGCGCGTGCAAGCGCGATGAAGTGGCGGAGCTGCCGACGGACTCTGAGAGCTTCTTCTTCCGCGTGGCTCGGAAGCCGGAGGAGGCCCTGATGGGCTACTTGATGAGGTTCCTCATGGCGGAGAGGAATATCAGGACGTGCAACATCGGGCCCCCCGACCCCGTGCTGGGTTTGTTTCTCCGTTCGCCGAGCCGGACTGGATAAGGAAGGGAAGCGGCTCGTCATGAACCAGATCGGCGACAACATCACTCTCGACAGAGTCGAGGGCCAGCTGAAGACGACCTTCCGTTTTGGACTCGATGCCGTCAAGTCGAGGAGGTCATGGAGCGGCAGCGCACCGCCTGGGCGAGGGCTACGACGAGGGCGACGACCGGGAGGGCACGTGCTGCGGAGGGGAGGACGATGACCACAGTTACTACGACGGCAGCGGAGACCAACAGATGGACCTCGGAGGTGCCAGCGGCTTCGACAGCGAAGCCTGCTGCTACGGCGACGCGGCGCGCGCGCCCAGCCCGGGCCAAGCGGCCCGCGGCGCGGGCGAGCGCGACGACGTCGCGGCCGCGTGCGCGGACGCCCGCGAGAAAATGAAATACATGAGGTTGTTTGAGGCTTCTATCCAGTTATGGCCGCGGTCCAACCGCCCGCGCCGCCAGCGAGGAGTGATGCGCCGATCCTTCCCAGAGGTGACAGCCGGTCGCGCGGAAGAGGCAAGCCGAGCAAAGGCAAGACGGTGAAAGGCAATGGCAAGACGGGCTACCAGGGGGGGCCATGACCAGGATTTCCAGGATGCGGACCGCCGACGGCCACCGAGGAGACGATGTGCCTGAGGTGCGGTGAGCGAGGGCACTTCGCGCGAGACTGCCCCCGTCGGAGCAGGAAGCGAGCTCGCGTGTCCGAAGACGCCGCAGATGTTAGGGTGACCGCCGACATGGGGCCCGAACAGATCTACGGCGCAGACGACCGGGGCCCCAGCGAGGCTATGCGCGACAGCGGAGCTACCAGCGTGATTGTTGGAGACGAGATTCTCATATTATATTGTCAGAGGCTGGTCGCGAAGGGCTTCCCGGTGAAGAATATGATGTTTTCCAGCGTGCCAACCAATAGTTTCAGATGTGGTAGCGGTGCTACAGGCGAGTCAACGGTGCGTGCGGTTGTGCGCTCATTTCCAGGGGGCCAGTTCATCGGGATTTTGACGCGCATCATCCCTGGCCGCGCGCCCATCTTGTTTGCCAGACCCATTATGGAGAAGCTCGGCATGGTCGCGGACTACAAGAACAAGAGAGCATTTGGGACGGCGACGGCAAATTGTTTCCATTGCGCCAGCAGCCACTGAGAGAGGGCACTACGTAGTGGACATGCTGGAGAGTTACGATACGTGCATGAAGGACCGAGCCGACTAGGCGCTCTTGTCGCAGAATATGGTGGACCATGTTCGCGTGCGACGCCCGATCAGTCATTGCGAGTTTCGCGGAGAAGACGTGCTGCCATCCAAGGGGTTTCTGGATTGCGTTGGCGCCGCAGTCGAGATCAGCAAGACCGAAGACCTGGCGAGGGCGTCGGCCTAGCCAAAGACCTCGGCAGCAAGCGGCTCCGACGGTGCCAAGAAGCAGTGCGCACAGCCTATAAGGAAGTAGACGGCGGCTGGGGCTGGGCGAGTGACGCGCGGCGCGGCGGGCGGAAAGTCTGGGGGGTGTACGGCGGCCAATCGGAGCTCGCAGCATAAGTGCGCCGACGAGGTTTCCAGGCCAGAACGGTCGGACTGCGCCGCGGATCGGATTCAGTGACGTAGATGCGCAGAAGAAGTTTTTGTGGATGCTCGGGCAGGGGGGGCCAGGCGACGTTTGGATGGGTCCCGGGTGCAGGCTGTGGTCAATGATTCAGGACATCAGCTGCAATGCCGCAGAGAACCGCGCGCGTCTGAAATCTCAAAGAGAAGAGCATCGTGACGTGCGCCTGATGTTTTGTTGCAGGAAGGTCCACCTCGCGGTGTGTGCGCGTGTGTGTGTGTGTGGGGTGGTCGAGGCGCGCGTCTGGGGCAGCCTGCGACAGCGAGAAGCTGGAAGCCGAAGGCTCTGTGCAACCTGCCAGGACACCGTGTGCCGCTCGACTAGTGCATGGCCCGGTTGGGGATGCCAGGGGAAGGGCCCGCTCGCAAGAGAATCGTAGTCCCAACCGCGAGGCGACGCCTTGCCGAAGGTCTGCGCGAACACCGGTGCGACGAGAGTCACGACCGCGTGCAGCTCGAGGGCAGGATGCCGGGCGCCAGCGTGCGCGGGGCCAAATTCGCGGAGAAGTACAGCGTCGAGCTGGCCGAGATCTTGGGCGACGTGCTGAGCGAGGCAAACGCGCGCGACGCAGCCCTCCTTGTGCTGTGGCTCGACGACGGCGAGGATCCCGCGGGGCATATCTACCGCGCCGCGGTGAGCCCCAACGGCGACAAAGTCAAGGACATTAGCGCCAACCGGCTCATCCAGAGCGAGTTTGGCCAGAACGTGTTCAGGTGCGCGGGGCGGTTGCAAAGGGGCCTCGGCCACCCCGGCGCGGGGACTTTCGCGTGAATGCTGACGACTGCGGGTGCGCGCGAGGAGGTCATCCAGTGCGCCGGGCGTTATGCGTGCTCGGTCTGCGCCGGGCGCCGCAAGGCGTCGCGACCGTCAAGGCGGCGCCGACGACCTGGAAGATTTTCAACCGAGCACTTGGATTTCTTTGAGTTCAAGTTGCGCACGGGATCGGCGAAGATTGCGCGCGTGATGGGCGGGGCTTGCCGATTCCAGAAGGGCCGCGTCGTGGCTCGTGAGACGACTAGCGAGGCCATCAAGTCCATCGAGAAGGCTTGGGGCAGGCACTAGATATCTTTCTCCCTCCTCCCTCCTCCCTCCTCCTTCGCCCCTCCTGCGCAGTCGGTGGTCGAACGCCCGTGCGCCCGTGACTGTTGCCGGAGGAGAAGGAGGAGAAAGGAGGGGTAAAGATGCGGATCCAGGATTTCTGCCATCACCCAGTGATATTAAGAACTGGCAGCGTTCCCTGACCTTCAAGGCGCACATGACGACAAGGCGCGCGAAGCGACCGAACTGGAGCAACAACCTCGCGAATTCCGCATGCCACCATTGCGAGAAGCACATGGCCACCCACTCGAATGCCATGCATGTTACCAACGCCAAGCGACCGAGACCGTGACATAATATCGCTCCACCACTTAGATACTCAGACTTCAGAAGAGGCGTTCATTCAATTGGTCCAACCTTCTGTTCCTCGGCACCCTTCCGAACGCGAAGTTGGCCAGCATATCGTACTGACACAAAACGCCAGGTAAGAAGCAGCACTGGGATTCAAACGGCTATAACGTACCGCATGTAGAGGTGAACCGCCGTATGATCCCGATAGTACCGCTGAGTGAATCCCACGCAGCAGTACCGCACACGTGCGCCTGCCCAAGCCTCACTATTGAAGCACCGGAAACATGACGCAGTAATTGAGCCACCATGCGTGGACTATTGCAAAGACGATGTCACCAGCTCTACGACATAATCATAATTGAACGATTTTGCGAAGCGTAATAACAGCCTCCAGACAGCACCACGAAAAAAGTGAGATGCGTCCCCCTTCGGTGATGGGATATTGCAGCAGTGTCAATGCTATCGCCTGAACGGAGGCCCGACCGAAACACGGAGATGAATTGGCATCCGATGTCTGGTTGAGGAGGTCATCGCTGGCAAGCGTGAGGAGCGCCGTGAATGATTGCCACCGAGACGCGACAAAACATGAACTCCCCGTGCAGCTATGGGAGAGTACTGCCCTGAAGCTGGTGTCGCCCGCAAAACCCTGCCAGAACAGAAAATGCACACAACAGCTTTTTGCTTGACTGACGAGGTAGCTGTCAACAACCTCCTACCGCCTACCGATACTTTGTCCTGGATTGCCAGCCTCCGTGTAGTCCAGCAGTTTGAAGTATTACAAAGCGCCAAACCCCAACACAGCTACTCGTACAATTCACCTCGATCTTAGCCGATCTCTCGCGAGCGCCGAACGGACACTCGATCTGGGTGCCACAAGCGCGGCACGATGAGCCGCCGAGGCGCGACGTCGAGGCTGGCCAGAGCCAAAAGAAATCGGTTGAGCCAAAATGGTTACGGACGATGGGGTATGAGGAAGGAGGAATGGATGGAGGGAGGGGGTGAACAGAATAAGTTCCCTCTCGCCCCTCCCACCCGCCCTCTTCTCCGCCTCCTCTCCCGGGACCTGCCCCTCCGACGGCAAGCCGTTCCACGCTCCTTGCTTTCCCCCTCCTTCCCCGTCTTCTGGCGCCTTATCTTTCACGTCGGGCCAG